AGGAAGGAGTCCTCTGAAATGGACAGCTTATCTGAAACACAGCATCATGCAGGACAATCCTGTGCATCTGTCCCCCAACACAGCAGTTCCTGGGCTATAGGAAATTATACCCAACAGCTTTGGGATGGGACCATGACTGAACCTGGTACTCTCAATTTTTTGTTGGTTAATGGAAGAAGTGTTCCCCTGGGTAGGCCTTCCCTGCCAGCTCTAGCTTTTCTATCAGGCCCCAGTCCACACTGCTTTTCTAGCTCTGCACCTTTGTCAATCTTGGGATGCATTTGGGATAAGGTTAATTCTGCCACTCAGACAAGAGGTTGCTATGGGGCGGGGAAAGGGGAGGGGGTTCTTCTGCAGAGGTACAATAACTGCATGAGCACTGGATGGAAGAGATACCTGCTCCTTCAGCTTCCTACTTCACTTTCCCCATCTATATAATAAGCATGATGCCCCACTGCACATTTTTTCAAAGCACTTGACCATCTAGACATGGACAGTGCTTTAGGCTGTTATTTCTGTGTCTGTCAACATACAGCCGTCCCCACATCCCTCCTCAAATAACCTTCTTACCATGTTTGTTCAAGTGATGCATAGCAACAGCTCTTACTGGGATTAGCTATAGCCAAGGAAGCTCCCTGATTTATATGGCCTGGGATCTGTGGCCCCTATGCTAGTATTTTAACACAGTTGTCACAGTAGATACAGCTTTGCCATAGGCTGATGCTTACAGCTCTCCTCGGAATCCATGTTGGGATAGTCTTCGCATCCCGGCTTGGTGACAGAGACAAGCAGCTCATTGCTGGGCGTCTCCCACAGTTGCTCATGCTCTGCAACACATACAGAAAACAGATAAAACCAAACTCAATGCACTTCCCCTGCCCCAAATCCCAGTGTCTCCTCCCCTGAGGAGACACCCATCTTCCATTTATTCAGTTCGCAAAGCAGCGGAAATGCCATCAGACCCTTGCTCATACTGTCAGTGTGACTTCCAATACACAAGGGAGATGTCCCCTCTCCTCTACCCACAGGTCTAATCTGGGCTTCTAGAAGCACAACTGGTAGTAGAAGCATTCAATGAGTGCTATTGTGGATGTAATGCAAGATCAGGACGAAGAAACAAATAGGCAGAGCCCTTTTCTCCCCAGCACCACCTGGGGTGACGAGGAACAATGGTAATAAGCTGATGGAGAACAGGTTTAGGTTAGAGATCAGAAGGCAATATTTTACAGTTAGGGTGGCCAAAATCTGGAACCAACTTCCCAGGGAAGTGGTCCTCACCCCTACCTTGGGCAAATTCAAGAGGAGGTTGGATGATCACCTGTCTGGGGTCTTGTGAACCCAGCATTCATTCCTACCTGTGGCAGGGGATCAGGCTAGATGATCTGTTCAGGTCCCTTCTGACCCTAGCTACTATGAAACTATGAAACAACAAAACTGCCTGTACAGGAAAGTCTCACCCCTCATTAGTGGGGTCTGCCCTTGTTACTAGAGCGCCCCAGGGAAGACTGTCAAATGGCAGCTAAACACATAAGCAAGCAGAGGTGGGGGACAACTGTGTGTGAAAGAACTTGAAGTCCAGTGTAGCAACATGTCATAGCACACTCTGAACAATGGAACCCGTTTTGAATACAAACAGGTGAGATCATCCACATCATCATATTTCATTAGACAATCTCAAGGGCACAGAGAGCTCCAAATGACTAAACTTCCCCAGTTTTGGGTAGAAAGAGCACAAACCTGAAAACATTCCTCACTCTCTTTCTCCTCAGGGGAGGCGAGGAAGAGACCCTGAGGTAAGGCAGAAGGAAGGTTAATCCTGGAGTGCATGAAAAGGCTTACAGAGCAGATTTACCGAATGACAGCAAGGACTTAATCTACAACTTGCTCAAGTTCCCCATCAATTTCAAATGGCTTTGGACTTTAGGATGAAAGAACTTTTGAAGCCTCCCACATCTGGGCAAGATGAAAAGACCACAAACTCTGATCTAAGGAAAATGTTGCCTTCTGAGGGCAAGGCGACAGAGAAAAGATGGGTCGGAGGGATTAACAGACATTCCCTTATGGGAGAAGTCAGTAATGAAGCCAACCATGTTGACATAACACCAGTTGCTAAGCCATGTGAAAGAGCAAGCACTACCCAAATCTGAGAGGAATGAAAACACCCAGAGGGACCAAGCCACTTTCAACCAATCTTATAACTGGAGATAGAATGGAAAGAGATATACCAGGGGCCAGCAAAGACAAGAGACAGAGCCCTGGAGACATGAAAAGAAATGACATTTGTCCCAGAACGTGGAGAAACAAAGGACAGCATTTCCCAGCCTATTCGCATGACTCATAAATCCCTTATGCAAGCAGAAATTTTAGATTCTTTCCAAGCAAGCAAAGGATGTCCCACTGAGAGAGGCAATGTTTCTTGGTACCAGATATAAATGGAAATTTCCAAGAACAGAACAGCAGTTGTAGTTCTGCTAGTCAAGGTTGGGCCAATAAAAGTAGGATAGTTCCTAACGTTATGGTCTTGTCAAATTTTCCATGGGCCACCAACTGTTCTTTAAGTAACCTTGACAGTAAGGACTGCTTAATAATGAACCAAGAACTGGCAAGGCATATACCATCCAACCAGCCTGTTACGAAGTACAATGCTAACCTGTCACACTAAGAAATGAGAGTACCACTCCAGTTTTACAAGGAATGTCAGAAAGACTGTGCTGTGCTCACTGAAATTGGGTTGAATGGCAGATGCCTTCTGGGAAGATGATCTCAGGGAGTGGTTCTCTACTTAGAGGTCTCCTTGGTCTACCAGATATACCAGCCTTAAGGCTGAGTTACAAAGCTGATCCATTTGCACAGGCTTCAAAGAGGGTAAGAGTGGGTTGAGTGGATGGGAATGTTTGGGGAAGCTCCAAGGTGGTTTAGTCTAGAAATTGCAGCACTTGTTCCAAATACAAGCAATCCAGAATAGTCAAACCAGGGTTCTGCATGGGCACATTCTAATTAGCTGGTTTAATTGACATCAAAGTTTCTCTAATTCTTTGAAATATGACCCTTGTATTCATTTCTAATTAGAACACCAATTCCACACTTACTTTATGAAATACAGTATTCTTTTCTATATGTGATTTTGATTCTTCTCTTATTCCCAACAATCCTTCCAATAAAAATAATTATAAAAATAAACAATGCAATTAAACATGTCATTAGGGAGTAACTGTGTTCTGGAAAGAATACAAGGACCAACTAAAGATGAGATGAGTGTGCAGGCACATGTCATAATCGAACAAATAACATCCAAGAAATTGTTCCAAGTAATTTGATGGTCACATTTTCCTCTAGCAGAGGTGGGAAAACATGAATAATCATTTCAGTTCAGATTCCTGGCAGAACCTAGAAATGTGTAAGTCCCCCATGTATTGAGTTTAAAATTAAACTTAACTTCCTATTGCTATTTACAGGGGGTCAGAACGGGGGTGAAGAGGAGGAAGAAGAGAAGAAAGGAAAGTGGCTGCCCCCGAGACCACACAAACCTTTACCTGACTCACTTGCTGTGTCAAAATCTGATGTACTTCAAGTAGTGCATCATGCATTCTAAAATCATCTTTTTTTTTTTTTGCTTTGATCAGCAGGGAAACCATTCATGTTGACATTTAAGTTATTAAGCATGACAGTTGTTGGTTATTTCCGATGAATAGGAGTTGTTGTATTTCTCAGACCTATTGCTTCATGCCAACCGCAGAGCTGGACAGACATTAGAGCATCAACGTATACCAATTCACACTGTGAATGTTTGCTTTGTGACAACAACAGCTGGGAACTATTGTAAAGAGTTTAGGTTCTTGAGCCACCACAAAGAGATACTGGCTTAAGAAAAAAAATCAGCTAGCAATTGTCCCAAACCAACCCCTGCCTGTTTAAAGTTTAAGCCCTTCAGTATTTGACCATATAGGATAGTCTACAGTGACCGAAGAGTAAGTCACATCCTTTACTTCCTAGACGAAATTGCTTTCCTGCTTCTTGCACTAGGGTGTTTTTGCATCTTATCCTACAAGGACACATGCTCACAAATTGAGAGAGTATACTGAGAATGCAGGTCTGATTATGAGAGTGCTGCATGGACAGAGTCCTTTTTCCCTGCAGCCCCAGTTTAGCAGCTAAGAAATACAGAGCAGTGCTACAAACACCAAGACCTGAGCTTGTCAGAGAGAACCAGAGCTTAAGCAACTACAACATTGGCAGCAACCCATTCCTAAGCAAAGTGAAGTGGCAAAGAACCATCATGGGCAGGGGTAGGATTTGAAGCAAATGAAAGGTCAAGAGTCCCAGAGGGAAGGAGGGACACGAAGACTAAGAAACCCCCAAGAACAAAACAGATTATGGTCTAGTACAGGGCTGTTCAATTTGTGACCTCTGAGCCACATCTGGCCCCAAGAGATGAACCTGCAGTCCCTGGGCTCCTGTTCTGGGTACTACTCCCCCACTACTCAGATGCTGTTGCTGGAGTCTCCAAGTTCTCTCTCCTTCCTTTGGCTTTCCTTCCTGCCCCTACCCCTGGGGTTAGGGCAGCAGGGCCAAGAGAGCCTGTGGCTGGGTGGACCCAGGGACCCTACACACGGTACAGCAGGACTGTGCTTGTCACATGACATGGTGAAGAGGCATGTAGCACAGTGCAGTCTTCAGGGCTTGGAGGCACTGCCACCATGCAGTAGAAGGAGGTTGGTGGGG